ACATGTTTGTGTAATATATGCAACATCCAGATAAAACACTTGCTACGTCTGAAACAGATGAAACATTTTGAACAAACGCTTGCAACATAACTCTGAAAACACTTACAAAATATGCAACATGTACAACATCCCGATTTACTTTTGCAACATCCATATGTAACAATTGCAACATACCTTTGAAACATATGAAACACTTGAAACATACATTTACAACATAAGAGAGAGGAAGGCCAGGTCTGGTTGATTCCGGTCGTCGGGGTGGGATCCGGTGACGAGGGAGCACCACCAGTACCAACACCAGTGGCGGCGCGCGAGCCCCCCTCCCACCAGTAGCACCGGCCTTGGCTCGGGCGGGCGGGCGATGCGCGCTATAGGAGGGAGCGGGCGACACACACTACAGGAGGGAGCGGACGACGCGGCGCACGGCAGAAGCGAGAAGCGAGGGTGGGTGGGGCGCACGACGGACGGGAGAGAGAGAGAGGAGCGATGAGCGAGCGGCGTAGGTGGGGCACGCAACGGGCAGGAGCGAGGAGCAAGCGAGCGAGCACGTGTAGGGTGGGGTGCACGGCGAGAGAGGGCAGCAGCGAGTGGAGTGAGACATGTGGCGTCCGAATGGGACAGACAACCGTAGCCAAGCATTATCATATGGGTGTTAAGCTTGGCCACGTCATTTCTGACCCTTTTTCACCTGGGTCCGCGCTCTCTGTGACAGCCTATACGCAGTTGACGCATGTCTCCTGTAGTCCGTTGGCCATTCCATCGTTTGTTCTGTCAATGGGGCCTGCTCGCTTGTTTGTTCCGTTCTGCAGCCCACTCGCTTATTTGTTCCGTGTTTTCACTAGGAGGACACGTGTCAAATGCGTATAGGCTCTCACACGGGAGCGAAGTGGTGTGGCACCATTGCATGGGAATTTTTTCCATACTTAATTAGCTCACGATAAATAAGATGGTGATGGATTAACCCATTTAGTTCTACAAACCAAACAAAAAAATGAATGGGTAGACAATCAACTTATCCATTACTCAAACCAAACACACTACAAATGATTCATGCGCTCAAGCCATCAATGGACTATTCGAGTATCAGTGATAGAGTTCAGAGCTTGCTCCTCGTCCCCGACAATCCCTGATGCTTGGAGCTGGAGCGGGAGATGCTACCGGAGCCTGAACTTCTGCACCTTCCCATAATAATAGATAAAATGGTTAAAAAAAATCACACTCTGAAGCTCATTTCCAAGAAACGTGGGTTAGGCCCATACACCGAAAACAAAATCCACACTTCACATACAAATCAATATAGGCCAAATCCCATTTCGATTAAAAGTGATAGCCAATTCGTTAGCTCGAATGGATGCGATCTATAAGTAACTTATTGAGATATACCCGCCAAATAGCCAAATAGGACGACTACCCTGTGGAACCAAAATCAAACATGTTGACAACAAAGGGCTCTAATACTGTTTCAACTATGTAAATTACAAAGAATGCCAGGAAGAACATTCCAAGTAGTACCTAGTCGCTTCAAATAGGGGTCGCTAAAAATATATATTTTATAACTAATTTAATAATATTTATTCGGTGTCATAGATGTTAGTAGTTTTTTATTTAAATTTGATCAGACTTAAATTTGTTTGGCTCCTCGGTAAACTAGAATTATATGTTTTTTAGACTAAGGGGGCAGATGAGGGAATGAAATAGAAAAAGAGTCAACACCAATGATTAGGAGGTTAAAAATAGACTTTTTGGGGACGCTTGGGGTGGATTGTACTTTTTGTACAAGAGTTAGGAGGGTGTTTTTTTAGAGACTAATCCTATAATAAAGAGTGGATTGTATTTTTTGTACAAGAGTGGATAGTGCTTTTGTAGCGTATCTCGCAATTTCCAAATGGGGGCGCCGTGCAATCGTGCACACCACTCATTTCTTGTCAGTTCCGACAAAAAAAAGGCCACCTGCACTGGGCCACTCTAGTCCCTAATCTCGCTGCACATGCGCCCTGATTTTATATCTCTTGGAGTAAGATGTTAATGTTATCGAATCTGTGTAGGATGTGTGCTTTTGTATCTCTTGGAGCAAAGTGATCCAATCAGTTTTGCTTCTTCTGATAAATAAAGTTTTTTTTTCTGGTTACTAATGAATGACAGATTGAGCGCAAGGAATATTCTCAGAAGGGAAAACATGCATCTTGACTCTTATAATTGCGTTCTCTGTCAGTTGAGTTTGGAGGAGACAGTAACACATTTATTCCTGGAATGCACCTTTGCGAAAAACTGTTGTAACCCATTCAATATTACTGTGTTTGGTGCTAGTTCAACCTTCCCTGAAGCTCTTCCTCAAATCAGATCTCAAATTAATAGTCACTTCTTCATAATTTAGGCTATCCTCCTCTGCTAGGCTATTTGGACGGCAAGGAATGATTTCATCTCCAAGAATATGCCACCGTCCATCAATGCTGTTAAAGAAGTTTTCCTCAAGGAGCTCAAGTTGTTGACAGTTTGGGCAAGAACTAAGATGCTGCTTCGTTTGATTTATGACCCAAAATCTGTTGTAATTTTAGATGTTTCTTTGATTTTCTTTCTGTCTTTCTTTGTCTCATGAACCTTTCTTTTAGCTCTTTGAACTTGTATTTGTTTTAATTTCGACTCCCTCCGTTTCAAATTATAAGTCACTTTGAATTTTTTAGTTCATCCATTTTTACTATGTATCTAGACATATTATTTATCCAGATGCATAGCAAAATTGATATATCAAAAAAGTCAAAGCCACTTATAATTTAGAACGGAGGGAGTAAAAAATATCATATAGGGGTGCAAATCCCTCCGGTTTTATCAATAAATAAATAAATACAGTTCAATATTTATTCTTGAAAATACTACTGTCTAAAAAAAATCTGCTGCAGGATGAGTCTAATGATATTTATTTGGTGATATAAATATTGGTGCTTTTTAAACTTGATTGAGCTTAAAATAGTTTGATTGTTGATAAAACTAGAATTTTAATTTTTTGAGACAGTGGCAACATTCATTTGTTTGTCCCAAATGTTATAAGTTTTGTACGTGTATAAAGTTAGTACATAACTACATTTTCAAATACATAGTATAGTTTGTTTTGGCTCAAACTTCTCTAACTTTGACTATGCTTTTAGGAAAAAATATATTAAGGTCCCTTTTAGAAGAAAGAAAAAATCATATGAATTTTGAAGGATATCAATCCTAAAGAAAATTTTCATATATGTCCCTTTGATAAATGATTAAACACTATGAATTCCCTTTGGATTTCCATGCGATGTGTAAAACCATAGGAATTTCGGAGGAAAACTAGTGTAGGATTAAACCTCATGGCAACTTTTCTTTATGTCTATCTCTCTTGGAATTCATATATTTTTGTGTTGTATTCAAAGGCCACAATATAAATTTTCATGTATTTTGAATTCCTATAGGATTATTGTAAGTTTCATTCAACTTTAATACTGCATTTTGTATGTTTCTATGTTTTGATAATCTTACATTCCAAAGGGAGTGTAACGCACGTGCCCCTTCCTTTAACTCCGATGTCATCGATCCTAACAAGTCATCCTCAGAATAGCTCTAAGAGACTCTTTATATCTTTCGTAATTCATAGAAGTAGATAGTTTGTTGAAAAATACCCTCCAATAGTCTCTTTAATTGAATCTCCAAATTCGACATCATCAATTCTGAATTTCTCGCTAGCTAAAGATATAGAACAACGATGGTTTTCTAGAGTGTGCACAAGATAAAAAAAAATCTCATAAGGATACAAAGATATACAAAGTGATTTTTATTTAAATAACTCTCTAAACGATGCCTTACAAGAGAAAACTTTCTAAATGGTGATTTAAAGTGTAAATTTTAAAAAGACTCCTAGAGATGCTCTTATATTGCTGGTGCTGCTGGTGCTAGCAACGGAAGCTCATCGCAGGTGGGACGTGGAAGCGCCACCTGATGATCCTGACAACCCCAACCAGAGGCAACACATGAGTGGTGAGCCACAAAACTGGCCGAGTGCGCCGCTACTTTGGACCGTTCGCCTTGCTTTATTATTATAATAATATAGAAAGCAAAGTATGAGTTTGCTGGGTTACTAGCTTACAAGAGTTTCATGACAGGTGTACGAGGAACTCCACCCTCTCAGAAACCAAACACAAAAAGGACCCAAAAACCAAAGACACGGGGAAATATCCATGAAAAGGAAGTACAAGCAGACATTGCCCTGTTCGACTTACTGAATCTTAACTGAAACTGGCTGAAAAACACTGTTCTTGCTATATTCTTACGAGAGAAAAATACTGTTCCGACTAAAAAAACAAACCGAATAAACTAAATATAGGATAAACCGGGGCCATTGAGGACCTCGTGCCACCAACATTGAGGGCCTGTTTGCTTTATCACTAGGCAGAGTTGTCCGACAACAGAGACCCTCCCAGAAATCTCGATTCTTCATACCTGGGGCAGTGGGGTCATGATTCTTAGCTGGCGCTGGCGGGTGCTTTCTGCCTGTGAGGGCGTAAAGCAAACAAACATGCCTCGAGTGCTGGAACTAGACTGTTCGTTTATGGTTGAAAGTACTGCTGGCTGATATGATATGAGAGAAACATACTATTCGTTGGCTGATAAGTCAAGGATTATAAGCCAGATACGAGCTGCCGAATAGACCGATGACATGGGGGTGTTTGCCTGGCCGCCACCACACTTTGCCAGACTAATAGATAGATGGCTGTTGTTTGCTTTAGCATTTAAGTGTGGCCGCCACAGCCTTTTGTAGTTCAAAAAGACCGAGGCAGCCATTCCTATCGCCACAAGTGAGTCGCCACCACACATGGCTGGCATCCAAACGCGCCCATTGTAAATTATTACTGAAATAATGAATCAGGATCATTGGATGATTCTCTTTCCCTTGCACATTCACATGCAGGACCACTGGACCAGGACGGATCGGCTAGAACCCATGTTGCCATCAATGGCGATGGCAGTGACACGCGAGTTCAGAGCTTGCTCCTCGTCCCTGACCCTCCCGGCTTCTTGGAACTGGAGATGCTGCCCATGGCCTTGGCCTGCTCCCGTAGCGCGAACTTCTGCACCTTGCCCGTCGCCGTCTTGGGCAGCTCAGCCACGAACACCACCGTCCGTGGCGCCATGTAGCGCGGCAGCCGCGCGCGGCAGAACGCCATGACCTCCTCCGCGCCCACGCCCTCCCCCGACGCACCCTCCTTGAGCGTGACGAACGCGCACGGCGTCTCGCCCCAGTACTCGTCGGGGCGGCCCACGACGGCGGCCTCCGCCACGGCCGGGTGCGCGAACAGCGCCGCCTCCACCTCGATGGTGCTGATGTTCTCCCCGCCCGAGATGATGATGTCCTTGGACCGGTCCAGGATCTTCACGTACCCGTCGTCGGCGTGCCGCACCGCCAGGTCCCCCGACCGCAGCCACCCGCCGGACATGGCCTCCGCCGTCGCCGCCGCGTCCTTGTAGTACCCGCTCATCACCGTGTTGCCCCGGAACATCACCTCCCCCATGGTGCGCCCGTCGGCGGGGACGCTCGTCATCGTCGCTGGGTCCTTCACGTCCACCTCTAGCCCCAGGTGGTGGAGCCCCTGCCGGGACTTGATCGCCGCGCGCTCCGCCGCTGGTAGCGCGTCCCACTCCGGCCGCCACGTGCACACCGTGGCGGGACCGTACGTCTCCGTCAGCCCGTACGAGTGGATCACCGGGAACCCCAGCTCCTCCATCCGGAACAGCACCTGCGGCGGCGGCGGCGCGCCGCCCGTCATCACCGTCACCGGCCTCCCTCTCCTCCCGCCGGGTCTCAAACTCAGCGGCCGCCGCTCCTCCGCCGTGGCGTTCACCACCATGCTCAGCACCGTGGGCGCGCCGCCCATGTGCGTCACGCCGTGCGCCGCCACGGCGGCGAAGATGGCGGCGGAGGTGACCTTGCGCAGGCACACGTTGGTGCCGCCCTGCGCCGCCACGCCCCACACCAGGCACCACCCGTTGCAGTGGAACATGGGCACCGTCCACAGGTACACCGGCAGCGCCGCCATGTCGTTGAGGAGCACCGACGCCAGCGTGTTCAGGTACGCGCCGCGGTGCGTGTACACCACGCCCTTGGGCCGCGACGTCGTCCCCGACGTGTAGTTGAGCGCGATCGGCTCGTTCTCGTCGCCCGGCCACCGGATCGTGAACTCCGCCGACCCGGCGCCGACGCCGCCGCTGGTCAGGAGCGCCTCGTACTCGTAGCACCGATCGCCTCCGGGAAAGTCTGTCGTTGTCGATGGCGGCGGCGGCTCGTCGAGGACCTCGTTGATTAGCACCACGGTGGGCACCCTGCTTGCTCCGGCCTGCTGGGAGATGAGGCGGAGCGCTTCTCGGGCGACGCCGAGCAGCGCGGCGTCCACGAAGACGACCTTGGCCTCCGAGTGCTGCAGCAGCACGGAGGCCATGCCGGCGTCGAGGCGCGAGTTGAGCGCGCAGATGACGGCGCCGGCCATGGGGATGCCGAAGTGGAGCTCGCAGAAGGCCGGGATGTTCTGCGCGAACACCGCAACCTGCACGGGCAGCAACGGCAGCTGCGATTGAGAATCGGCCAATTCAATTTTGGATTGCTGAACCTACTCGTAGCAGCTTCTTACTGATGAAACGATATTCGGTCCGAGCACAATTCGCAAGCAAATTCAGGCCGTTCAAGATTTGATGAATTCGGGCAAGAACACTATCTACCTACTCGCATCGGGAAACGGAATTAAAACGGAGCCTTTTTCAACCAAGAACAGCAACAGCAGTAAAAGTGAATGCTTGGACGGCGGTAGGTAAATAATGGGCGAATCAATCTACCGCTCCGTGGCACGGAAGAAGAAGAAAGAAGAAGAGAGCAGAGGAGAGGAAGGCACCAACGGCTGGAGAGAGAGGGACTCACCACGTCGCGGCGCGCGACGCCGAGCCCCGCGAGCGCGGCGGCGAGGCGGAGGCAGCGGTCCCGGGTCTCCCGCCAGGTGCGCGGCGGCGGCGGCGCGGCGGCGTGGACCGCGGAGACGACGGCGGGGCGGTCGGGGTAGACGAGCGCGGTGCGCTCCAGGAAGCTGATGGGCGTCAGCGGCGCGTGGTTCGCCGCGCACAGCACGGTGCCTTCCATCGCTCGCCGCGCCGCCTCCTTCGAGGGCCGACCTGGGGTGGGGGCTCAGAAAGAATTGGGCGCGGAACAGAGCAGAACGACGGGTGGAGAGATAGTTCCGATGGGATATCGAGTGGAGCAGAGCAGAGAGACGACGCGTAGGCGCAGCGTAATCGACGAGCTGACGCGCTTGGCTTGATGCTTGATGGTGATGACTCACTCGCTTGCTCGCTCGCCTCCAGCTCCAGTGGAGGAATGGAACGAGAACAAGCAAGCTGCTCTCTCGTTGATTATTGATCCATTCGTCTTTGGTGACGTGGAACCAACGAAAGCCGCTAAGGATTTGTAAATTAGTAGTGCGTTTTTATCATATCATGCACGCACACTGCCGTGTTTCGTCTCGCCTTCCTTCGATGACGAATTGATGATAATGGTATCGTTATCGTTATCTTGACAGTGATCTTGCTCGCACAAGATCGAGTTCCTTTTCCATTGCCTTTTTTGTCCACTGTGGTATGATCTAGGATTTGTGCAAAGTTGTTGAAAACGGTTACACTGCCTTTGCCTGCCTCTGAATTGCAACCGAAGAGTTGTTGGAGAACAAAAAAGTTCGTTGAAAGGAAACCGTTTTTTTTTAGCTATGGAAGAAAAGCTCGAGTCATTTTTATTGTGCGGAGGAGAAGCTATGAATTTGACACCTGTGTCTTTGGCTTCGGCTTCGACTCTGGATCTGATGGAGGAGCAGCTCGGCGAGGAGCCGTGCTAAACAATAACTCAGAGTGATACAGTTATTGTAACTCGATTGCAGAGAAACCTCGCCCTTTAACGGTGCCATCATATCCCAAGTCTCAGAGTAAGTCTAATGAAGCATTTCTTCACTTTGAAAGCAATTGTTTGATGCGCCGATTACGTTCTCATCCTATTTGGTGCGAGATTGGTTTGGTAGGTGTTAGATTTTACAAGAAAAACCCCCGGTAGATGTGATATACCTTTTCCTACTTTCTTCTCGTCCCATTTTGTTTTAAGTTTCTTTTGGTGTTCATCAACAACGTGCTTTGTGTAATTTGATATCGTGCTATATGTTATAGCAAAGTAAACCGCCCATGGAACAAGCACGACACCTATATCATATTATCATAAGTAAGAGATAAATATGTGACTGGTTGCAACTTTACAGTGGTGCCTCCTGAACTGGTGGCAACTACCTGAACCTCCCTTAGAGTTAAAGAAGGAAACAAAACTCTTGTATAACAAGTTTTCGTTAATCACCACACCTGTATTCATCATAGGAATTCAGAAGCGCATATCTTTCATGAATATCATCGTCAGCTTTTGAGGCAAAATTCCATCATGGGTTTCTCATCTTCGCAGATATCGCTGTTGTGGCTAGCTAGACACCATGAACTTAGGGCAACTCCAGTGTGAAACATCGAACCGAGCGAGTAGAATCTGAGGCGTGTAAGGTTCGGTGCGCATACTGCAAGCATTGATTGGTGGGGCTCGGCATCCACCCTACAAATGAGCAAACAATATATCTTTGTCCACATGTCAGTTCTTTGCTCTCGGCCAGACTTGCTCCGTTCGCGATTGATTTTTTTTATGGTTGAGCTCGGTTCAATACAACTGCAACATCCGATTTTTACTTTCAGCCTGTTCGCTCGTTGATTTCAATTAGGACTTATCAGCCAGCTAATAATATTTTCCTCTCACCTCAAACCAGCACCGACCGGGCTTATTAGCCTAGAAACTAACCAGCGGCGTTTGACACATATGACATATGGTTCGGCTGTCACAACGTCTTCTCTTCGATTTCACACACAGCACCATGATCTGGCCTTTTTCGGTCTGTTCGCTAGTTGGTTTCTGGGCTGGTTTGGATTGGCTGATGCTGGTTTGTTGTGAGAGGAAAACACTATTGATTGGCTGATTTGAGCTGGTTAAAATCAACAAGCGAACAGGGTGTTTATACAGAAAGTCACCTGAAGAGTTTCCAACCATTTGTTCGGATGGAAACGGAAACGGAAGATTTCATTTTCCGTGACAGTGACGTCTACGACCGCTTCTTCTGTGACAGCCGGCTTTTCAAGCTTCTCGTCTTGTACAGTATTGTAATTGTAATCAGCCGGCCGCGATCTGAGCCGTCCATTCGCCGATCCAACGGCCACCAACCTACCACCACCTCACGAGCCCCACCCAATTCAAACAAACCAACGCTACGATTCCCCCGTGAGTGGCCTCCGCCGGCGCCGCCCGCGATGATGTCGAAGGCCGCAGCAGCGTCCCTCCCGCCGCCGCCGCCGGAGGTGGCGCACCTGGTGGAGCAGCTCCAGCGCCACCACCTCGCCCCGGACGCGTCCCTCCTCTCCAACTCCGCGCACTCCGACCTCCTCCAGGTACGCACGTCGCGCCCGCCACGCTCCTCCCCTGATAGCTGCTCACCTGAACCCTGTGCCGGCGCAGGCGCGCGAGGAGGTCGCGGCGGAGCGCGCGCTCTACCTCGAGGCACTGGTGAGTCACCCTCACCCCCCGCCCGCCTCGTCGGATCTGCATTCTAGGTTTTGCTCGTCGGGTTCTCATCAGATCTGGTGGCGCTATGCTATGACGTAGGCGGTGTACGCGGAGGCGGTGGCCATGGTGGAGGAGTACCATGCGGCTGGCGGCGCCGGTGCCGGCAAGAAGCTCAACTGCTCCCCGCAGGTTCTGCTGCTTCTCTCTGACAAGTCCTCATTTTTCATTCACTGGTGCAAGTACATACATCTTCAAATGTGAGTTGGGTGGGGGCAGTACTAGCTGAATAATAGACTGTGGATATTCCTCATTATCGGTCAATGGAATTCCTCATTGCTGGTTCCGTTAACTTAGCACCGTAATCGAGAAATTGTCCAGCAAAAATGACACTCAGTCACCGAGCTTACTCTGTCAGTTCTGAACCTCTGATCCAGGTGTACCAGTCTTTGGATTTTTTTTTTCATTGACTGGTGCAAATACATCTTCAGATGTGGTCTGGGTGGGCAGTAATAACCGATTAATAGACAGTGGAAGAATTCCTCACTGTTGGTTCAATTGACTTAGCACCGTAATCGAGAAATATTCCAGCAAAAATGACACTCTGATTCAGTCACTGAGCTTACTCTGTCGGTTCTGAACCTCTGATCCAGGTGTACGAGTCTTTGGAGCACCGGTTGGCTGTGGCAGAGGCAGCGCAGAGGCTGAGGCTCCCACTGCTCTCTCAGGACGGGGAGGTCCATGAGCAGGAGATTGAAAAGCTGAGCACCTTTTCAAGGAGTTCATTTGATAGCACCCTCACAAGCGCGACACCCAGCTCAAGTTCAATCTCGACAAGTTACAGCAATTATAGCAGCACTGCTAGTGCGGTGACTGTTCCTGCTGCACACGGAAGCGGTAGTTCAGACGCAGTTGAACCTGGAGTTGGTGGTGTTCCTGATCGTTTTCTTGGGATCACGTCTGATTATCTCTACCAAGTGCAACAAGAGCAGCCAGCCATGTCTGTGGTAAGAACATTTTTTTTTTGCCTAAATGGTCAATTCATACCTTGTTACTTGTTTGATTTGATGAACGTAATTCTGATATGTACCTTGAGAAGTGCAAAACTATTTTCTAACCAATTATTAGACTATGATGTGTTTTACTTTTTTTGTCAATGAGTGAAAGAATATAAAAAATCTTCACCTGAACTTTGAAAGCATCTGCTTTTGTGTCGATTACAGGACATGGTTGATTATCAGAGAACTTTGGCTAGGGAGATTGAAGCCCGGTTAGAAGCCAAGTGTGATGCTTTGGCTGATCTATTTGCTATGGACGAAAGGGGTCAGTTACTGAAACTAGTGGAAGAATAGAAAAGAGAGTGAGAGAGAACAGTCCAAATTCTGGTTCTGGTTATTATTCTGTCTTACCTTAACATCTTTGCTGCAGATTCGTCATCCATCAGTCAAATTTCAAGTGCTAGGCTTCCAGAAAGGTGGACTTTCTTATCTTACATTTTAAATCAGACTGTACCAATTACATATTCAGTATTAATACCATCTTACCATCCCTTCTTTGCTACAATCCCATCCATTTACATAGCTAACTTAACTTGGCATGAGTGCCCAATTTTCCATCTTGTTTGGAATTGGAAACTACTGTGGTGCTTGTGATAGGATGAAGTTGGACAGGCGTCCCTGATAAGTATTTCTCATGATTTTTGCTTCCTGTTTGACAGGGTAAAGTTAATCATCGAAGAGATAGAAAAGGAAGAGGCACATCTACTGGAGGACCTTGCTTCAATGGACAGAAAATTTGCTGAACATTATAATGTATGTTTGTATGTCTTTGGTAATGCTTAATTTTTCAGAGGTGCACCCACTTTACCTGAGCACAAATTCTTTCTCATACTTCTAACCAATTAGTTATGGTTCTGAAAATTCCAAAGGTCTTGGAGCAAATTCTTGCTGTGCTTATACAGTTTGTTAAAGACAAGAAATTGGAGCATCAGCACCAATTTGTAAGCATTCTCATATTCCGTTCTCTGGTTCAACTTCTTTAAAGTAAACATATCACCTTTTCATATTGTTAGTATTGCTAGTCAAAGTGCTTAACATGTCTCTTATTGTCTAACAGGATGATCTGAAGAAGACCTGGCTTATCAAAAGGTGTCGGACAATGAATGCTAAACTAAGGTCGGCACCCGCATCAGTGACCATATTATAAGTGTACAACAGATGTTACTCTATACTCAAATAACCGATCCTCCCTTCTCTCTCTCTCTATATATATATTTTGGATTCCAAATGCTAAGGGATTCAAAGATTAGGTTAATTATACTTTTTTTATATACTTTGATTCCAGCTATCTAGAGCATCATCTATTGCGTGACACTTACACAAAGGACACAGTACCAGCACTTCACAGGATCAGGTATAGAAAGGCAATTGATCTTTTAGTGGATGTACTTTTTGAGTTATATGGGTGGCACTTGTTATTCATAAGATGGATTTGGTTTGTTGAGTGCCTTTTGTTTT